GTAACCAGAGAGAACCTTCCCAGGTGACACCACTGGTTGCACTGACTCAAAATAAGTTGCTCGATGCTCACCTAGCAGGAAAAACGCATACTACGAAAGCTCCGCCCAGTGGTGCTTTTTTCCTGGCTGGTTTTTTTTTAGGGGCGTACCCCCTCATAGACAGAACTATTCAGCCTTGTCACATTTAATTTTGGGTAAAAGCCTGATATCCAGCTGGAAACATTCTTTGAATAGCTCCAAAATCTGTTGTTGTTGTTGTTTGTTGTTGTTAATGATCATCCAGTCAGTTCCAACCCATATCCAGCTCAGGCACAACAGGAAGAAACGCTGCCAGTCCTGTGCCATCGTCATATGATAGAATGTTTCTATTACAGTCAGAGTACCAACCAGCTCACTACACAGGTCACCTAAGGGCTTTTGCCCAGCGGCAGCGATATGCCTTTAAATGGTGAGCGAGAAAAACATGAAATAGACTCAAGGAAGATTGAAATTATATTTGAGTCCATGAATAATAATATGTTATGAATTATGAAACAAAAGTTGGAGTGTTTGAGGTATAAGCCCAATATATAAAACGATTTGTGGAGAACTGCTACCAAATTTTCCACAAAGAACATTTATATCACTGTCTGACACATTGTTCCGGCTTCAGAGAGAATCTCGCATGTTTATTATGCTATATAAATTAAGAATAATATGTTCTATCCTGTGGATCAGTTTTAGCTTTTATTCAAACCCTTACTAACAAATCCCCATGTCAATTTTCTTGACTTACAGAACACATTATGAAATTGGATAAAATGGGGACCTTTTCAAACATAGCTATTAGTTATGGTTCAACTTTAAATTTTAAAAAGTAAATGAAACTTACCACACTGTCCTTCATCTTTCTTAGCTTTTCATCTATCTCTTTCAGCCTGTTTTGCTGGTCCCTCTGTTCCTTGGTATTCCGAAGTACTTTTTCTCCTGGAGTTATTTCCACATTTCTGTCATTCTCCTAATTTTAAAAAATGTTCAAAATCACTTACAGGCTGGAAATGTATTGTCACACACCCCTCCTCAGCATCTAAGCCTGAAGGCTAGCTTTCTCAATCTTTCTTCCCTTCAAAATAGTACTTAAAACTGTTTTGGTTTTGTTGTTTTTTTCAATCTTCCTGTCTGAAGGAAAGAATGTTTACTTGAACCTAAAACAAATCAGGAAATGAAGTCCACTTCTGGAATCAGCATGGAAGTGGACATTGTGACTAGGAGGCGATGTCTGAGTTCTGAGTCATGCTTTCACCAGCTTAGAACCTTGAGCAAATCATCATTTCTCCAACTTTTAATTCTATCAGATAACAGGGGGCAAAACTCCCCATCCATTTTATGCTGTAAGGGGAAGAAAGCAGACTTGGACAAGTCCGAAGTATTGAATCCTCACTCCACTTGCTCCTGCCCATAAAATCAATGGACTTCTCTGAGCTTCTACTTCGATGTCAGTAAATGGTGGTAATAAGAGGGGACAGGGTACTCTAAAAAGTAAAAGAAGTCCTTGCAGAATATAGTGGGCATGCAAAACAAATCTTAGCACCCAACAAATGTGAGTTGGGGATGTAATAAAAAAGACCCTAATAAAGAATAAGCATCACATCCATCATTCTCAGCAATACTTGTATTTACAGAATAAAAACAGGTGATCAAAAAAAGGTGGGGGAGTATTTCTCGACGGTCACAGTCCCATATCTAATGCTAAACAACCATTCTGGCTTCTCTCCAACAGATCTCCCACTGTGTCGTCCCGTTAGTGATTGGCACCAATGGCCACTGTTGAACCATTCGCTGTCCATGTACATACGCCAAGAATGGTCACCACCCTACGTCCTAACACACCTCTGATCAAGGCCCTCTGTCCTTTCCCTGCCTGTTATACCTCCTCAGCACTCACTCGAAGGCTTCACACTCCAGTGTGCTTTAGGGTCACCTACCTACAGAGCGTGCAAACTAAATGTTTTTAATGCATAGACACAGCCCCTTCCTTCCCTATCTTCAAGATTTTGATTTAATAGTACGGGCTATGGACTGACAACCTGAAATTCACTGTGAGTTATTAATACCTCTATGGACTTAGTTACTCCTTGAGACTCCTACCTGGTCTCTTTGCTACTGGTCTCCTCAGTGTTACCATCTGCATACCTGTGAGCAGGTTGCTTTCTCTTATTGGGTCTCCATCTCAGCTGATAGGGTTTCTTCCAACTCTAACAGTCTGTGGTGTCCGTACCTCTCTCTGTTGTTGTTAGGGGTCATGGAGCTGGTTCTGACGCACAGCAACCCGAACGCACAACAGGATGAGAGCACCACCTTTCTTTCTGTGCCAGCCTCACAACTGTTCCTATGTTCGAGCCCATTGTTGCAGCAATTGTGACAATTCACCTTGTCAAAGGTCTTCCTCATTTTCACTGTCCTTCTACTTTACCAGGCTTCTTTATTCCATGTCCAACTTTCACATGAGTATGAGGCAATGGAAAATACCATGGCATGGGTCAGGCACACCTTAGTCCTCAGAGTAACGTCCTTGCTTTTCAAAACTCTAACAAGTCTTGTAGAGCAGATTTATCTAATACAACTCATCTTTTGATCTCTTGACTGATGCTTCCAATAGCATTGATTGTGGATCCAAGCAAAATTAAATCCTTGCCAACTTCAATGATTTCTCCATTTATCATGATGTAATTCATCGGTCAAGTTGTAAAGATTTTGGTTTTCTTTACATTGCACTGTAATACACGCTGAAGGCTGCAATCCTTAATCTTCATCAGCAAGTACTTCAAGTCCTCCTCACTTTCAGCAAGCAAGGTTGTGTCATCTGCGTATCACAAGCTGTTAATAAGCCTTCCTCCAATCCTGATGCTGCATGCTTCTTCATATAACCCAGCTTCTCTGATTATTTGCTTAGCACCAAATTGATTAAGTAGATGAGAGGATTCACACCTTTCCTGACTTTAAACCCTGCAGTATTCCTTTGTTCTGTTGACACACCTGCCTCTTGATCTATGTAAAGGTTCCCCATGAGCACAATGACGTGTCCTGGAATTCCCGTTCTTCTCAGGGTTAGCCATAGTTGTGATGGTCCCCAGTTGAATGCCTTAGCATAGCCAATAAAACACAACAGCCAAGATCCAACTGACATCAGCAATGATATCCCATGTTCCACCTCCTCTTCTGAATCCAGCCTTCATTTCTGGTTGTTCCCTGTTGTTGTATTGCTGTATCCCTTGCTGGATGATCGTCAGCAAAAGTTTACTTGCATGTGCTATTGTCTTGTTCTATAATCTGAGCCTGCTGTTGTCTCACTTCTCTTTGCAATGGGTACAACTATGGGTCCCTTCCACTCTATTTGGGACCAAAGGTTCTGGAACATCATTCCTCTGTCATGATTTCTGATAGCACAATGGCACAGCACAAACACTTGAAGAATATCTTTTATAAAACCAGAGGCCAAATGGAAGCCAGAAAAGTGGTTACTGATTCTGGCAAAAAAGTACCCGGGGGCACATTCAAGAGGCTCTATGGTCCCCGGGGCATTCTGTTCTCACATGAATGTGATAACCAGTATGCTCCATTTTCATGATCTTCGGGAAATCTCTTGGTTTCCTGTGCTAGAATTGTTTAAACAGATTCTTTGATCACACCATTGCTGTATCATTTGTATGTTCCTGGGCCACAGAGGAATGTGTTCATAGCTAGCTCAGCGAAAGTGCTCCCTGAGATACGCTGGATGTTGAAGGAGCCCACAAGAAGAGAATTGCCCTTAAGGTCAATAGCTATTTGTTGATTTGACTAATTAATTGTCACGGGACTCTCAGTTCATCCTTAGGAAAATATCTGTGGTGTTGACAAAGCCGGCAGGAGTCTTTGAAGCTAAGTAACCTCATTTTCAAAAGACAAAATAGAGAGGTTACTCAAATCTTCATTAGTTATCTGATATGCAAATAAAGTACACTATTAAGGGGGCAATAAAAACACAAACCTGCCTAAATAAAACCAGCTGGCAATGCATTTTCAAGCTAATACTATACATTTCCACAGGCAACGGCTATTTCCTGTCCTCGGATGGATCATTTGCTTGGCAGTACATAAAGTAGGGCAAATTTCTTCAGCAAGATTATGTTTAGTCCCTTGGAATATTGACATTTAATGAAAGAAGCATTGAGTACATATTAGTATTGAAGAACAAAGAGATATGAACTTCAAAGTAACGCATGAATGGCAAGAAGAATTCCTCAGATTTAACAGGTTAGCATGGGAGACAAAGACTTCTGAAGTAACTTATTTATTCCCCATTCCAGAAACCCACGCTTATGGCATTTCTGGAAACGGCAGGTGGTCAGCAAGATTTCCGTGCTGGGATTGGTTGTCACCGTCTCCTAAGAGATCACATAGTGAGTGGCTCCAAAGAACAGAAACGCACGTCTTACACAAGAAGTCTGAAGGGGCATCAGTAAAGCTATGCTAGCTGTCGACTGACTAGGGGCGAAGGTACTTCCTCGTGTCTTTCAATATCTAGTGGCCCTGGATGTTGAGACGATTCCAGCTCAGAGCAACCCTATGTATTACAGACAAAAACACTGTCCAGTCCTGTGCAGCTCCGCAACTGTTCTGTTTGAGCCCATTTTGCAGCCAGTGGGTTACTCCAGCTCATGAAGGGTCTTCCTCGGTTTCACTGACGCTCCCCCGACTCCTTCTCCAGGGACTGGTCCCTCGTGAGGGCACATCCAAAGCGCATGAGACAAAGGCTCACTCTCCTCACTTTTAAGAAGTATTCTGGCTTTACTTCTTCCAAGACAGGCTGTTCCTCTGCAGGCCACGATCTTTTCCATTTTCTTCGCCAACAATGTTATTTAAATGCATCAATTTCTTCTCCAGTCTTCTGAATTTCACATGCATATGAGGAAGTTGCAAATAGACGGCTTGGGTCGGGCACCCTTGAGTCCTCCAAAGGACATTTTTGCTCCTTGGCACTTTAAAGAGGAGCCCTGCTGGCATTGTCAGGAAAGCGTTGGCTGCAAACCACAAAGTCAGCAGTTCAAATCCACCAGCCACTCCACAGGTAAAAGATGAGGCTATTTGCTGCTGCAAAGACTTGTCGTTCAGAACCCTGCGTAAAGTCACTACAAGTCAGAACGGACTCAATGACAATGAGGTTTGATTGAAGCAGATTTTCCCACTGCTGACTGACTTCTTGAACTACTGCCTCCAATAAGCGTTTGTGGTGGATCAGAGTCAAATAAAATCCTGGACAAGGTCAATATTTTCGCCACTTATCATGATGTGGTTCCCGAGGCCAATTGCGAGGTTTTGTTTATTCTACATTGATCTATAATCCATACTGAATGCTGAAGTCTTCGATTGTCATCTGCAAGTGCCTCAAGTTCTCCTCACGGTCACCAAACAAGGCTGCGTTATCTGCAAATCTCAGGGTGGCCACGGACCTTCCTCTAATCATGTCGTCACATTCTCCTTCACATCGTCCAGTATCTTGGATTATTTGCTCAGCAAACATACTGCATAAATATGGTTAAATGATACAGCCCTGAGGCATATCTTTTCTGATTGTTCCCTTTGTTCTGTTCAAAGAGCTGCTTCTTGGACTATGTACCCACCTGACTTTGGTATATTCCCTCATTAACTAAACTGAAAATAAAAGAAAAACCTTATTTCCAAACAAGGTCACATTCCAAAGCACAAAGGTGTCCATGTATCTTTTTGGGGAGGGGCACAATTTAACCCTAACCCTAGCACACATAGAAAGTGTCTCAATAACTGCTCTGTCAATATAGGGGTCCGTGCAGGGTCAAGTGCACTCCATCGCTCTTTATGAAACCCTGCAGGTCTCGGGTGCACCAAGACAGCATCCTTCAGGGTCATCTGTTAAACCGTGTTCTACAGCTCCTCGATTTTAGCTTCAGTTGAGACAGTAAGAACCCCTCCCCAAAGAGGTCACTTTTGCTGTCAGCCATC